ATTTCGGAAATACGGACTGCAACAATGTTTTGACACAATTTCCGGTCATCTTCTGATCAATAAAAATCAAGTCAATTATTGCATAAATCTAGATGGTACCCCACACTCTCAGTCCACCTTCTCGAAGTTTTCTCAGTACTAACAACATTTTTTCACCCCTAACTTTTTATCTTACAACTCTTTCTTTGTTAAAATAAAAGGACTTTTTTTAAAGTCCGCCATTTTGTTATTTACCTTGAAATTTGACTTCAGTAGTTCCGACCAGAATGACATGTCTATAGATTAAATATTTTTTAATTTTTAAAAATCATTGGGGCCAAAATCAACTTCGAGTGACAATAATAATAGTAACAAAGTATTAAATTTTTTCAAATAATTTTTTTTTGTTTTTTTTCAATATGTAAAGGAAAACACTCTAAATATTCAAGATAATTCATTTTTATTTTTCTATAAAAACCATCCTCCAAAGAAGTCAGGAAAATAAGCATAAGTTACCAGGCAACTCCCTTAATATTTCCTTAATGTGGGACCAGGATTTGGTGCCTTGCATAGACCCTTTAATTAAGTAGGATGTAAAAGGAAAAGTTCATCTTAAGGAAAATACTTTGACAATGTAATCAAGTATATACCCTTGACTTGGTTATGTAACCATTTCATCGGATGTTACACGCTTCAACACGGAAACAAAAAACATAATCTTAGCGAATTGTGAGTTTAGAGCTCAAAGTCAATAGTGTTGAGCGCTCCACTCGAGATGTATCAAATGTTACGTATACGCACTGTTGCATATCAACTTTGACTGTTGCATCCAACGGCACTTGAACAAAGCCATCACCACATACTTGTATAGTTGTCAGAGATAGTAAGAGCAGTAAGTGGCCACATCACTCAGCGTTTGAGCACAACAGGTGGCAGATTTGCGTCAATTAAAGCTGATGTACATACATACATGCATATATAACACACGCTAGTGTAGTACGTATATATGTATACAAGTGAAGTGGTCATACAGATTTCTGCGCAATTTGGCATTGACGAAACCCCAGTTTTCCGCCAACTTGCATTCAACCATAATTGAAGCACTACTTCAGGATGCGCAACAAATGTTGCAACCACACAATTGAGCGGTGGATTTTTTTCGGCACCCCACCACGACGAAGCTTCAAGTGCAGGCTTGTTTGTGTGTTATATGTATGTGACTACATATAACTGAATTTGTATGTTCGTATATAACATGTTGCCAACTCACTGGCATGATCATTAATTTTGGCTGTTTCTTCGTGACAGTGAGCAACATTGTGGCTGCAATGAAGTATTATGTACAAAATGTTCATCTGTTGCAGCTGATTTATGGCGGTTATTAGGTCGAATCATTTTTTTGGAAAATCTTAAAAAATAAAATATTTTACAATATTTTACAATATTTTGTGGGTATTAAAAGAAAGCTTTCTTTTTTCTCTACTTTATAGAGTTGCCATCACAATCCAAAAAAGGTTTAGGAAAATTTTAATTTTCTTTCGCGGTGTTAAAAACTACGTGGCAAACTTAATATACCCTATTTAAGGTATAGAACAAAAAATGGCTGAGACCTACAAGCTTATGATCATTAATTAATAATTAAAGAGCTAAAAAGCTTTTCATAATAAACACAGACTAAAATAACAATAATAACGATAATTCAGTAAAGAAAGCACGAAGTAAATCAAAGAAACTATTGCATTAAAAAAAAAAAACTCTGTTTCCCTAAAATCATAATCTGGTTTACCCAAAAATCATAATCTGGTTATATACAATTTTCATAAACAACATCAGCATCCACGAAACCAAAAACTCAATAAAAGAATCATCAAGTTGATACCGAAAAGGAACAGAATCGGTTAAATTTTGCCGAACTTACGAAAAATTTCTATTTTCTTAATTTAATTAAATTTTCCAAAACTCCTTTCAAATTCTTTTAATTTGATACCAAAATCATCCAAATCGGTTAACAATTGTCAAAACTACGATGAATTGCCATTTTCTTCATTTCTATACATTTTTCACAACTCCTCTCAAATCCCTTTAATTTGACACCAAAATCATTGGTCTGTTCAGGTTTGCCGAAATTTTGAATAATAGCTATTTTTAAATTGTTTCCAATTTTTCAAAACTCCTCTCCTCTCCAGTCCTTTTAATTTGACACCAAAATTATCAAAATCGGAAGAGAATTGCCGAATTTAAGAAAAATTTATATTTTCCCAATTTTCCAAAACTCCTCTCAAATACCTTCAATTTGTCACCAAAATAATCAAATTTGGTTAAGATTTGCCGATTTTACCAATTTTACCAATTTTCGAAAACTCCTCTCGAATTACTTTAATTTGACACCACAATTATCAAAATAGGCAAAGAATTGTCGAATTTAAGAAAAATCTCTATTTCCTTTATATTTTCCACAACTCTTTTCAATCCCGTCAATTTGATATCAAAATCAACAAAATCGGTTAAGATTTACCGAAATTATGGACAAATCGCCATTTTTATTAATTTTTCCAAAACTCCTTTCAAATCCCTTTAGTTTGACACCAAAATCATTAAAATCGGCTAAGATTTGAAGAAATCACGAAAAATTACAATCTGGTCACCCACGGCCACATGGCGGTGCATCCAAAAATTTTCATTTCACCAAATCGCCAATTTGCACCAGGCGCACAAAATCGCCCAGTAGGTAGCTGCCGCAAAAATTTTTTTTCCTGTAGCCTACCCCAAAGGCGCAGTATGAACTGTGTTACCGGCATTGCAGGACAACCGGAACTGAAGGCTGATGCCACGTTTACATGAATAACTTCCATAATTCAGCACCGATTTCGATCGTTTAAGCACCAAATGAAAGGCCAAGCGCGCAGCTACACAATCAGATACTAAGGAATGGTAATGAGCTAAAAATAGAAGATATTTTTTTAAGAAAATGTACCGAAGCAACTCTATGATAAAGAACTGAAAATTTCATATTAATAAAGTGAGATGAAAGGATCTTCGCATTATCAATCACTAGAGTTACGTTTCAAAAGTATATTCTGTTAACGAAAACATTTCAACTTCAACACATTCGTAGTTACGGCATGTTTTCGAATAGCTTCTTTCTAGCTGAATTGCCATGCCTACGTAAGAGATGAAAGTAAGAGCACTATGCCTATACTTTCTGGAAGCGATCACCTTTAATTTGACACCAAAATTATTGAAATCGGTTGGGTTTTACCCGACCGCGTTAAGTGTTTATCGTGCACGCAACTACAGGAAATGGTGGGTAACGCAGTACTAAAGCATAACGATGGCATATTCGCTATAACTTTGCTAAAACTGAACCGTTTTCAAAGATTTTGGTGACAAATTAAAGTTGATCGCTTCTAGAACACATAGGTAGTATGCTCTTACTTTCATCTCTTACGTAAGAATGACAATTCAGCTAGAAAGACGCTGTGCAAAAAAATGCCGAAACTACGAATTTACTGAAGTTGAAATCTTGTCGTTAACAGACTATACTTATGAAACGTAACTCTAGTGATTGATAATGCGAAGATCCTTTAATCTCACTTTATTAATATGAAATTTTCAGTTTTTTATCATAGCGTTGCTTCGGTACATTTTCTTAAAAAAATATCTTCTATTTTTAGCTCATTACTATTCCTTAGTATTTGATTGTGTAGCTGCACGCTTGTCCTTTCATTTGGTGCATAAACGATCGAAATCGGTGCTGAATTGTGGAAGTTATTCATGTAAACGTGGCATCAGCCTTCAGTTCCGGTTGTCCTGCAATGCCGGTAACACAGTTCATACTGCGCCTTTGGGGTAGGCTACGGAAAAATTTTTTTTTTGCGCAGCTACCTACTGGGCGATTCTGTGCGCCTGGTGCAAATTGGCGATTTGGTGAAATGAAAATTTTTGGATGCACCGCCATGTGGCCGTGGGTGACCAGATTGTAATTTTTCGTGATNGCCGAAACTACGAATTTACTGAAGTTGAAATCTTGTCGTTAACAGACTATACTTATGAAACGTAACTCTAGTGATTGATAATGCGAAGATCCTTTAATCTCACTTTATTAATATGAAATTTTCAGTTTTTTATCATAGCGTTGCTTCGGTACATTTTCTTAAAAAAATATCTTCTATTTTTAGCTCATTACTATTCCTTAGTATTTGATTGTGTAGCTGCACGCTTGTCCTTTCATTTGGTGCATAAACGATCGAAATCGGTGCTGAATTRTGGAAGTTATTCATGTAAACGTGGCATCAGCCTTCAGTTCCGGTTGTCCTGCAATGCCGGTAACACAGTTCATACTGCGCCTTTGGGGTAGGCTACGGAAAAATTTTTTTTTTGCGCAGCTACCTACTGGGCGATTCTGTGCGCCTGGTGCAAATTGGCGATTTGGTGAAATGAAAATTTTTGGATGCACCGCCATGTGGCCGTGGGTGACCAGATTGTAATTTTTCGTGATTTCTTCAAATCTTAGCCGATTTTAATGATTTTGGTGTCAAACTAAAGGGATTTGAAAGGAGTTTTGGAAAAATTAATAAAAATGGCGATTTGTCCATAATTTCGGTAAATCTTAACCGATTTTGATGATTTTGATATCAAATGGACGGGATTGAAAAGRAGTTTTGGAAAATTTAGAAAATAGAAAATTTTCTTAAATTCGGCAATTCTTAACTGATTTTAAGGATTTTGGTCTCAAATTAAAAGAACTTGAGAGGAGTTTTGGAAATTTGGAAGAAATGAAGAAAAATGCACWTTTTTCATAGTTTCGGCAAACCTTAACCGATTTTGATGTCAAATTAAAGGTTTCTGAGAGAATTTTTTTTTAAATAAAAAAAATGAAGGAAATGATGATTATACGTAAATAAAATAAAAGTAAACAAAAATAAATTTCTTTTATTTAATAATCTTTATTTGACTAATATCCAAATATTGGAATTTATAAAAAGAAAATACGTATTTTTATACAGTTAGAGTTAGTTTTTCTTATTGTGTTTATTCTTGAGTGTCCTTCGACTGTTTTCATTACCTTTTCTTTATTGCCTTTTATTTTCTTATTTTTTATTTAAAAAAAGTATTGATTATAACTAAATATAGAGTTATACATATGCAATGAATAATGAAGCGCAGATTCTCCATATGCGCTTTGTCTGGCGTGTAATGTTTGTCGGCGACCAGCGTGCTGCATTACTTGTTCTTTTAAACGAGTGTGAAGACTTAGTAGTTCCGGGCGTGGGATGACCACACGTCAAACGATGATTCTTATATGTCAATAATAAAACCTTGTGAGCTTTCATGATTGTGTTCCCTTGCCTCGCCTAATACAAATATGACATCCAATTTAGTAAAATGAATGGTGCCTCCAACTACAACTCTTGTTTGTCAGCATTACGACTCGACTTTATGTTCCACGAATTTGTAGATGGAGTCGATCAGAACTTCCAACATGTCAGCGTCAAGGCCTGCGAAGTTACCTGGAACATGTTAAAAACCTTATCAGTTGTAAGAAGCACCTATGATAGGCATGTATGTATATATAATACTGTTTATGAATTAAGGGGCTACATAAGAACAATAAATATTATTAGAGATTTAAAATTACTATAAAACCATATAAGCCACCCTAGTACCCTAAGCGCGTCTCTTATCCTCTTTCTCTTACAATAGTTATACATATGTATATCCGTATACCGTATACTCATACACAGATTTCAGGCGCTTGTAGGAGCGCATACTCCACGCTTATAGATAGTCTATTTGCGGCAGTGATAAATGCCGCGTGTTGATCATTCGCTTGAATTCAAATGGCGCTTGGCGCACTTTTACAACGCACCGAGTGTACGTATACTAGCAACAACAATAGCAACAACTCAGCTACGACACATTAAGTGCGTGCTTAAGTGCCACATTAAGTGTGTAATTTACAGCTACAGTAGTCAGCCTCAGCCTATCAGCCGCAAGGAACTCACCATAATCACCAACGGCCCGGCCGCCGCTGAGGCACATGTGCAACGGCGCAACATTTTATAACCTTCCGCCTATTAGTGGCGCGCGGACAGCGTTTACTGGCGTTAGCTGTAAAACTTTGGGGCGCGTATTTATGAGCGATAAATTAACGTCAGGTCGCCGAAATTGTCGTCGCGGTCTTTTGTTGACGCACAAACAAAGCGTGAGCTATGAACGGCGCAGTTCGAAGGTCAGCCGCCGCCAAGTCCTTTTGATTGCCAGGATTTTCATAATTTACTCATCATTACCTGGCACAATTGCGCTTAACAGGCGTTAATTAGGTTGCTTTAAACATTTGTTATTGTATGATTTTAATTGTTATTGTGGTCTTAAGCGTTGACAATACCTTATACATACTTCAGATTCATTTAAGGTCGACAGCATTGTATTTGGTTGCTTTTATGCACAAATAATAAAAATGATAAAATATTTGTGGTGGTGCTCATCTGAGGCGTAAGCAAAAATTCGGATTTTCATCACATTACTGCATCATTCCTTATATTGCGCGATAAGTAATTCACCGCAATGTAAATACTAAACTAACCAGTTATAAGAAAGTATACATTGGATTTTCCACCTCAACTGCACGCAACTGTCTTTATGTGTTGATAGTTGACCTAAATGTCAACTATTAGTGTGAAATTGGGAACCATCTCATGTCTGGTGGCGGAAAACATATTTATTCATATAATATTTCAAGGTAAGTTCTGGGTTTTAGTATGACAAAATTCAAATAAAGAAAAGTATAAATTCATACCAAAAGAATATGAAAAAGAGTTCTTCTTGAATAGTCCCAAAATAAAACAAACTATATTCCAACTTCTGCGCAAATGTGATATTCTAACAAGCTGCAACGACAGTCTGGCTTACGAAACTGCCCCTTTTGGTCAGGTATATTCTATTCAGAGACTACCACATGACTAAGCACGATTTATAGAGGATCATGCCGATATTTCCTAACTTATTTCCAATAGCTAGCTTCATTACGAGCAGGCTACTCAGCAGCATCTATATTATGTCAAGACCCTAACCCATTCGAGACTAATGGAAAAAGATGGCACAACAATTTTTAAAATTAAATTATACATTTTTGAAATTTTTTTAAATGATTGCCTATGTTAGCTCGCCTAAACTCAGCTTTTATTGTCTATTTTAAAATATGGACAAACAAATAATGGGGAAATCAACATGTCTTTCAAGTTGACGATGAATTTCACATTAAAAAAACTATATAAATATATGTATGTGTATTTATGTTTAAAGCGTTATGCACCGACACAATAAAAGTTATGCGAAATTTTATTGCAACTTAAAATCTTAATACGCTTTTTAGATGCAAGTCGGAAGGGAAATACAACCAACACGACACTGAATTTATTGTGCATTATGACTTGGACTCTGCTGACGAATATGCAGACTCCGAAAGCAAATTAGCTGTTAGAGTTCTCAACAAACAGATTTCCCTTCAGTAACGTATGCTCGCGAATAATATATGCCTGACGAAAATAATACAAATTACGTCGATTTGCAAGGAGTTAAAGTTCACTGAACGTTGTTTTTGCAGACCATTCAAACTTCAAGTACCCCGTTTACAAGACTAAAAAATGTTTTATTTGATATTACTGATGACTGTACTCAGTTGCAAGTGTTTAAAAACTCACCCAACAAAAATTTCAAAAATAGAGTAAAAATGTTGTATAAAATTCATATTAATTCATCGGTCATCTATAAGGCACATAAAGTTTTCAAGCGTCCTAAAACAGATCTTCTCAATATTGGAGATCACTTGCCAGTAAATCGTAGTAATCGCAGACGTTGCGTACGATGCACATCACTTGGGCAGCAGACTTGATATGTTTGGGCGGCAATACACCATTTCGTTTTTTTTTTTTTTTTTTTTTTTTTTTTTTTTTTTTTTTTTTTTTTTTTTTTTTTTTTTTTTTGTTTTTTTTTTTTTGTTTTTTTGTTTGAAAACTTTGCACTTTTTCAATTATACATCATATCGTCACCTGAAATGCAAAATAACGTGTCATCAAAAAAATCGTTATTTTGCATTTGAGGTGACAATATAATCTATTTTAGCCACCTAACAGATTATACAAAACATGTTAATAATATTATCTTGGATATTTAAATATAACTCCGTCACGAAAGGTATAAGATAGTTAAGATATTTAGACAAGAAAATAGTTCGGTAGAGAGTTAATAAAATTAATACCAGGTGTACCGGTTTGAAACGTTTTGTGGAAATAACTTTAAATTGGAAAGTAAAAAGAAAATTATTCAAAGTATTGATCATTGCTTTTTAAATATTGATAATTTGTGAATACCATGTCAATAGAAATGTTCGGTTTTTGAAGTAAACCAATCAAAACTCAATTTTCGAGTTCTGCGTATGAGTCGAAGTGCTGCTCAGCCAATGCAAGTTCCATCGACGAAAACAAATGTTAATCGGAAGGGGCCAAGTATAGTGAATACGGTTTGCTTTTGTGTGCTGGTGCACTGCTGTGTAAAAAATTATGTAAAAAAAGTCGTTTTTCGATCAGTGCATAATTAAAATTGATAATTTGTTGTCTTCGGCGATGGGTATCAACAGCTTCACCAGGTTTTGGAAGTTCACGATATACCACACTCTTCTGATCCCACCGAACGAGGAGAAATGCCTTCTTATGAAACCGTTTAGAATTCTTGAAATAAATCCATTTTCAGCGGCAGTGACAATTCGAAGCAAAATTCATTTTCAATCGCTGCTTTGAACAAAATTTTACGTGTTTTTCGGTTTTCCATTGGTCTTTCATTCAATTCATGTGGCACTCATTCTCTACTATTTTGAATCTCTCCCATAGCCTTCAAACTGTCTAAAATTGCTTGCTGTGTAACATTTAGCATGGGTGTCTTCAAACTTTTTGGTGGTCTTCCACGTCACTTGTTTCTCACATCAAAGTCCATATCTCTGAACCGTTGAAATCATTTTTTTTTTTATGTTGCTTCTAATAGAGCACGAGCATCATATGTCTCGACAAGCATCGATGCGACTCTGTTTCACTTTTCTTCAAATGGAAACAAAATATTACTGCTTTCCAAAAATCAGCACTTTACGGTACAGAATTTGACATTTTCAACACAAATTCAAAAGAAACGCTCTCTTCATATCGGTACATCTGGTACATTAATCACTAAATGAGTTGGTGTAGTTAAAAATATTTATAATGCCATAGGAAGTAATAATTTAATATTGGCTTTTACTGTAACGGTATCGGAATTCTAATTAGGAAGAGTTTATAATCTTATAAATATGCGTGAATTAATATTTTTATATATAGTAACCTGTATGCAATATTTATGTTTACATAGTTCATCACTCACAACATAGCTAACAGAATTACCCATTCCGCATGAAAAACCCGATCTGAATAGTTCAAGAGTTGAACACACACACAGACGAACTTAATCGTCCTCAATATACGCTTATAAAGCTTAATTAAAAATTGGCTAACACTTATTTCCACTTTTTATTGCCTTCCATAAAACTACACATTTCTGGACTAAATCGGCTACTCACACAACATTTTGTTGTTATGGTGGTTCAGACCAGAATCAACTGTTAATATCCATCAGATGTGCACAAAATATTTCATTTCTAACTGACCGATCAAAGTTCTTTGAAGGAATTTTTTGTATTTGTAAAAGGATTGAGTAACTTCGGTGCAACCTTTGTTATTACTTGTCATTACAGCTTTCGATTTGAAAAATACATTTTACTTGTTTAAATTAAAAAATTTTAACATTTTAATATCAAAATTGGAATATTGTTTTTAATTGCAAAATCGTAATTAAAAATTGATAAAATATCTTAATTAAATACAGTCAAAAATTTTGTTTGTTTCTTTTTTTGGTTCAGGTGGCATTAGTTAAAGGCCGTGTAGACCCCCCATAGAAAATTATATCTAAAGATTGACCCAGTGTCTGCCATTTTTTATCAAAATATAATTTTATACGCTCGACTAATGTAAATGAAGTGTGAAAAAGCAAAAATCGATTTATTTTACCGTACTCCAAACAAAAAAAAAAAAAAAAAATTAAAAAAAAAAAAAAAAAAAAAAAAAAAAAAAAAAAAAAAAAAAAAAAAAAAAAAAAAAAAAAGAAGGAAGCAGGCCTTTTTTGAGGCCTGACCAAACTAACCTATGAAGCTTTCACAAATTACCCAAGGAATACTTAATTATTTGAAATAAACTTTGCTCACCTCGATCAAAGTATGTTGCAATCTAATATTTTATTTTATTAATTTTCAAGAGCTTTTAAATATTCTGATACTCCGTGCCACTTGTTTATATAAAATACAAAATACTAAGGAGCACGGTTCCAACTCAATATTTCACATTTTTTCGCGTTTATGACCGTGATTAATCAGCAGCTCTGCATTTACTACATTCACTATTTATTTGCACGCCTGAATCGCGCCATCATT